AGAGAGAGAGAGAGAGAGAGAGAGGAGATGATTCCTAGTGATATTCTCTTGTACTCATAGGTTGTTACTTTGTCCAGTCATCATCAGAGAAGCTTCCCCCAGCAGCAGATGGGAGTGAATGCAGAGACCTACAGCCTGATATTATGAAGATAGAGTCTAAATTAGAGGTCTCCACTGAGTCCCTCTTCTAGGAGCTCAGGGAACCCCACAGAACAGGGATGGGAAAGATTGTAGGAGTCAGGGGGAATGGAGGACACCAGGAGAACATGGCCCACTGAATCAACTAAGCAGGGCACATACGGTCACACAGAGACTGATGTGCCAAGCACAGGGCCTGCATGGGTCTGTACCAGGTCCTCTGTATATATGTTATGGCTATTAGCTTAGTGTTTTTATGGGACTCTTTTTCAAACTTTCTTTTTATTTATTCTTTGTGTCTTTCACATCATGCCTCTCAATCCCATTCATTTCCCATCCCTTCACATTCACCCTCCGCCCTTACATCCCACCCCCCAAATAAAATAAAATTTAAGAGAAAAAAAAAGGAAAAAAAATCAGTCACATCATGGAAGCTGCAGTGTGACACAGTGAGTCACATTGTAAACCCTTTTATCCATATGTCTTATTTGCAAGTCCTCATTCCAAAGAGTCATTGGTCTGGTTTGAGGCCTCTGGTTTCTGCTACACTATCAACGCTGGGCACTCATGGGGACTCCTCTTGGATATCCTGTTCTTGCCCTGTGTTGTGGAGATCCTGCAGTTTTGGGTCTGCAGGATCGGCCCCTTCACATGCTCCGGCAGATCATAGATGGGGTGGATGTTGAGGTGGGCTTACTCATAACCCTGGTTGCAGGGTTGGTCAGCCCTCCAGTTCTCCCCTGTCCTTACCACCAGGGTGAGCTCTCCAGCACTGCCCTGGCCAGTTCCTCTTGCAGCAAAGTTCTCCTGCTTTTGTTCCCTCAGGATAGGCTCTTCCATACCTACCCCATCAGGACCAACTCTTCTGTGTTACCCAGGTGAGGTGCAGGGCCCACTCTCCTGAGTGCTGCAGCTGTGAGGGGCAGGCCCAGTTCTCCCACTCTTATGACCTCAGGGCCAGCTCTCCCACTAGCTACAGGTGGTTGAGGGGTAGGGGGGAGCATTTCTCCCCTAGTACACCACCATATGGCAGATGAAGGGTGGGGCCAGATTTTCTATGCTTATGTTCTCAGGCCAGCTCACCACTGCTCTCCCCTCCCCCCGTCAATAGGGTCAGCTCTATGGTGCTGCCCAGGAGAGGTGCAGGGCCCAATTTCCTGAGTGCTGCAACTGGTAAGGGGGAGGGTCAGCTCCCTCAACCACCACAGGTGGTAAGGGCAAGGGAGGGCATCTTTCCCTTACCTTCACCTCCACATGGCAGATGAGGAGGGTGTGGCCAGTTATCCCACTCTCACACCCTCAGGACCAGCTTTCCTGTGTCTCTGCCAACAGGGTCAGCTCTACTGTGCTGCCTAGGCGAGGAGCGGGGCCCACTTTCCTGAGTGCTGCAGCTGGTAAGGGGGAGGGTCAGCTCCCTAGTCTGTCACAGGCATCAGGAGCTAGGGGTAAGGGGAAGGGACCACCTCTTCCCTGTCCATGCCTCTGCCTGACAGATGAGTAGTGGGGACAGCTCTCCCATGCTCACAACTTAGGGGCTAGCTCACCCACACCTCTGTCAACAGAGTCAGCTCTATCGTGCTGCCCAGTCTGTTGGTTTTATGCGGCACTTTTACCCTTCGAGGAAAAGTCACGAGGCACAACAAAACCCACTGTAAGAGTTTTATTAGGAGCGGGGAGGGACAGGATAGAATGTGTGTCAGGCCTGCTGAAAGGACATGTGTGGAGGGGGGGAGGGTACATGGGACCTGCCTTTTATAGACTACCCTGCGCATGCGCACATAGGCCCACATGGCTACTCCACACATGTGCATAGATTACATGATCACACTGTGCACAAATTACGTGACCATGTAGCACATGGATTACATAGGACGTAGAGCCCGGAAATGACTAGGTGGAAGTGACTAAGTGTCTTGCCAGGGCATGCACGATCATGGGGGCATGGCTAGAATTCCTATCATCCCGGACTCTTTATTTTTGCAAAAGATGGCAAATGAGTGGGTATGGGTGTGTAGTTTCTCCTGGAAACTGTTTCCAGCTGACTTGGTGGGCATTGGTTGACTCTTGGGGGGTTCGAGAAGGGGGCTTCTGAGGTAGATAGGCATCTTGGGATGGTGGATTGTCATCTGCTGCTTTGGAGCTGTCCATCTTTCTCAGCTTGGGACTCTGACTGCTTGTGTCTGAGTGAGTGCTAGTGAGACAGAGAAAAGCTTAGAAAATAAGAATTATATATATTTTTTCCCCTTTGGGAAGTCCCAGAGTGAGGGAGGAGGTCCTGGGACCAGGAAAGTTTGGGTTCTACTTATCTGAAGCAGATCTGACCTGTCCAGATGGATTCAAGCTGGTTTCTGGAGCTTGGAAGAATTTTTAAACATATTAAGAAGCAGCCATGGGAAATTTAAAATCTTGAGCTGGTTACCATGATATTGTAATGTTTTAGTACTCTGCTGTATTGGTTAATGTTAGAGAGAGAGAGACAGAGAGAGACAGAGACAGAGACAGAGAGAGACAGAGACAGAGAGACAGAGAGAGAAAGAGAAAGATTTGGAACATGTTTTTAATTTTTACTTGAGATAAGCCTTATCTGAGACAGATTATTTTAAGGCACTTTTTTTTGGTGTTGTTGTTTGCTTATTTATTTATTTACTTTTCCTGAGACAGGGTTTCTCTGTGTAGTTTTGGTCCCTGTCCTGGATCTCGCTCTGTAGACCAGGCTGGCCTCGAACTCACAGAGATCCGTGGTAGTGCTGTGTTATTCATTAAGCAGTGCTGTTACCTTGCGAGAAAGGCCATGAGGCATGATAAAACCCCACTATCAGAGTTTTATCAGGAAAAAGGAGGGACAGAAGAGAACGTGACCTGTGGAAGACATGTGCAGAGGGGGTGGGGAGAGAAGAAGGGGGAGGAGTCTGTGTCCCGCTTCTTATGGATTCCCTTACACATGTGCATATAGGCTTACGGAGCTACACCGCACATGTGGGTAGATTGTGTGATCACACTGCGCGCAATGTAGGCTGCAAGGCCCCTTACTTGGCTACTGAACTGCAAATGTTCGGTCATGTAGCTGGGGGAGTGGCCAGGAATTCCAACACAGTCAAGGTGCAGGGCCTGCTCTCCCAAGTGCTGTGGCTGGTGAGGGGCAGGGGCAGCTCTCCTGCTCTTATGACCTCAGGGCCAGCTCTCCCACCTGCCATAGGTGGCAAGGGGTTGGGGGGCATCTCTCCACATGCCACTATATGGAAGATGAGGGATGGGGACATATCTCCCATGCTCATGTTCTCAGGCCAGGTCATCCTCGCCCCTGTCAATAGGTTCAGCTCTACTGTGCTGCCCAGGGGAGGTACAGGGCCTACTTTCCTGAGTGCTGCAGCTGGTGAGGGGGAGGGTCAGTTCCCTTTCCAGCTGGAGACAGTAGGGGCCAGGGAGGAGGGCATCTTTCCCCCAGTCCCATTACACACTGCAGTCAAGGGAGGCAGTACCAGCTGTGCCCCTCTCACACCCTCAGGGCTGGCTCACCCACATTCTGTGGGCCTCCTAACTGTGGGAGCTCTTGGGGCTCTTTTCCTCCTGCTGGGTTGCCTTGTCCAGGCTTGGTGTGAGAGCTTTTGCCTTGTCTTACTGTATTTTGTTTTGGCATGTTTTGTTGTTGTCTCTTGGAGGCCTGCTCTTTCCTGAAGGGAGCCAGAGGGGGAGTTGGTCCCGGGAAAAGGGGAGGAGCGGGAACTGGGAGAAGTGGAGGGAGAGGAAACTGGTGAGAAAGTATTGTATGAGAGAAGAATCTATTTTCAATTTTAAAAGTTGTTTGATAATAGCTAGTAAAGAGGATTTAGATTTTCCTCAAGTGGTAATTGCAAGACATTACTTCTGTTTTGGATTTTTGAGAAAGGGTGTCTTGGAGCCTAAGCTGACCTCAAACTTGATTATATTCAAGGGTGGCCTTGAACTGCCCATCCTCCTGCCTCAGCTTTCCAAGAGCTAGGATTACAGTGATAAGCTAACACATCCAGCAGAAAGAACTTTTTAAAATTAAGCATTTCTTGGTTCATGTTTTATGTTTGTCACTTATTTGGAGAACTCTGAGACTTGCAAAATTTCCAAACAAAAAGACATTTCAAAAAAGCTTAGAATCTATGACAAATAAAAAGCTAGTAAATGAATGAAGTAATTTGTAGGAAGCAGATGTCCATTCCAGTGACCTATTTCACTCCACTTTATCTTTGTCTAGTCTAACAATGGGAATGTGATGTGCACCTAATTTTTCTCTATCATATATCATCGATCTCTTGAATATTGTCTAGGTAAATTTCTTGTCTCTAGAAATCTATATCCTGAAGTTAAAGATTCTAAAGTGTGCCAGAAATCATCATTTGGATTACAAAAAAATCAATAGGCCATTATTCTACCTAATAAAATTTTGCAGAAGATAATAATGCATAATGCCCTGTTGAGACATGTGGTACCTGTATATAATGTATAATATTTCACAGGAAACAGAAGCCAATGAGCCTTCAAATGGCAAAAAGTATGACATTGAGTTGAGTATGGAAATTCTTGAAATTTTCATTAGTGAAACTCATTCATTCATGAGTCTAGAGATAGTGAAATTTTTATTTCTTTATATTCAATATGAAGAAATAACATGTTATGTTTTTGTTTATTCACAACATTTATTGGACATCTATTGTATGTCAGAAATATCCTAAAAACTAGGAGTAGGTATGTTAAGCAAGGCAAAATCTTTGCAAGATAAATGAAACAAACTCCATAAAGTAGCATTTGACAGAGTTTGTATTTCCCCAGCCCAGCCTCTCTTGGTTCACTTGTTTCTGATAACTTCAATATACCTTTCTGTCTAACTTCAGATTACAGATGCCAGAGTTCCTTCTTTGTACTTCTTTACCTACACTCACTCTTTTGAAGATCTCAGGTAGGTAAGCATTTAAACATCTGTGTGTGTTTGACACCCAAATGCATTTCTCCGACTTTGAATCTCCTCCATGAATTGCCCACCCATAGTCAACCACTCACTTCATATCTCATCTTGGATGTCTAAAATGTCAACCAAACATATGCACAAAGCAAACACCATGGGACAGTGGGAGGAAAAGAGGTTGTAAGATCATTTGGATTGAGCAAATAAAAGACTTTTCAAGTTAAACCAAAGAATTAAAAACTTACAGAGAGTTTTGCATGGGTCTTAGCATGTTTCACAGGAAGTGAGAAGACTGGCCCTACTAGCAATTGGGTTGCATTCTAAGGAGGACGGACTTGGAGCAGAATAGTTAAGTTTAGATATGGTTGAAGAGAAGCAAACACCTGTCAGCCAGCATGTGCTTGCTAAATAGATAGTGGAGATTCAGAAATCCTAAAGGACAGTTAAGTGGACAGTAAAGCAAAAACCAAATCAGGACAATGCACCCTGTGCTGATAATAGAGCTCATCATACACAAGTGTAATTTCATCATTAGCATCCCCAACGGGACTGAAAAGAGGCTTAGGTCAAAGACTTGGAATATTTTATATTTCTTTTTTTAATCTCCAGCTATGAGTGTGTGAGCATGATAATAGCATTGTGTGAATACCTAATGAATGAATGAACACAAATGGAAGCAGTGACAGAGAAGGGATGTGAATGAGTGGTCTGAGAAGACAAAGGGAAGATATATCAAGTTACAATTTAAAAAAAGTGACCAAGAAGTTTGGCATTTCAAGAAGATAGAGCAGCTCAAAGAAATTTGGAGCACTTTATTTGGGCTTGCAAAATACAACTTAAAATGTAAAAAAAAAAAAAGAGAGAGAGAGAGAACAAAATAGACTTTTATAGGAAGATATCATGTCAAAGATGGATGTATTTGTAAGCCACCCTAAGATTTGTTTGCAACCAGGAGGCCACAGAGAGTTTTCAGCAAAGAAGTGACATGTTTAGGCTTACATGATAGAGCACTGATCTGGAGGTGGTTTTGACTATGCAACACAGGATTTAAGAAAGTTAGTTATTGCCTGGTTTAACAGAGTAGTGAGATGTTCTGTTGTGCATTAACGTGGCATCTTGGAGTGGAATCAAGTTAGGACATTGAACTGAAGATCTCCCTAATTACTTCATTTGTTGTATTTGCACCATTTGACCCATACCTACAGACTTGCCTTTGCTCTGGGCTTCTGAGCACTGCTCTATTCATAGACGTAATTAAGAAGGAAGACCCAAGAGCCCAAAGTATTGAAAAGCAGGGTCAGCTTTGCTGTTCTCTCACCCTAACTGCATGCCCTGAATTTTTTATTCCAGATGCTGCCTGAGTTCTATAATCACACTTCAAGCTCCAGCTGTGGATCCAGGAAAACTGAGACTGTGTCTCACTGCGGCTAATTGCCCTGATTACATGGTTATTGTTAGCCTGTAATGTTTCGTATGAATTACAAAAGAGTCTGTAGACTCACAGAACTAGAATTTCACACTTACTTCCTAGCTGAGTACTTTATTTTCTTAGCCAACTGTATAACTTAGATACTTGCCACATCATTGGATCTCAGCTTCATGGCCTTTATCTTGCTACCCACTGAATCTTCTGGCTGCAGGACAGTTTAGGATTTTAAGAGAAAATAGTTTTAGTTCAAGTTTCATTTTCGAGTATCTATGTAAAAACATAGGTCTCACCCGAAAGAGAGTAAGAGACAATTTTTTCTAAAGCCCAATATAAGTGACCATGCCCAGGGAACACAGATTCAAGTAGTTCCATGTACCATGTTCCATTGGGAATGTGGTTACATGAGATTTGGGGCTTGCATTAGAGAAGACATCAGGTAGGTGGGTTTTAGCAAAATGGGAAAACAGTTCCCGATCTCTGATGTTATCTGGTGACATGCTCAAGCGTTTGGATCCTTGATACAGAGCAGTTTACTAAGAATACATTTTAAAGTTTTGATAGTTGAAGAATGTTGAGCCAGACATAGGTGTAGGCTTTGGAAGGGGCTAAAAAGATCGCAAGATAATTTGTCTCTAATCTGCAACTGCAGTGATGTAAACTGCAATAATATCAGTTCTCCATAATCAGCTTGTTCAGTCTTTATATTTGACCTTGTAGAGTCTTTAATGCAAGTGTGACATTGTTTTCCCCTTCTGGAAATGTTCATTCACAAGACCAGCACTTAAAATTTTCAGTTAAGATTTAGGAATCATATGTCAAGAGTTTAATTGCTTTTCTTGTGTAAGTTTCTTACACATAGTGTTATTAGCATTTGGCATTAGCTAGGCGTGGTAGCATGGAGGCTGAGGCAAGAAGATCATGATCATGACCATGACTGCCTACGCTAAATCAGATTCAGTCTAGCCTGGCATACACAAAATATTTGGTCTTAAAAAATAAATGTTACCAACAGAAAAAAAAAAACAGATATTACTGGGAATATCACTCAATTGATAGAGTGCTTTCCTATCATGCCAAAGTCCTGGGTTTGAAGTCTTGGGTCGGATCTCCAGCACCACATAATGGTTCACAACTAAAATCCTAGCACTTTGGAGTTGGAGGCAGCAGGAGAAACAGGAGCTTAAGATCATCTTGTTGTCTTTTACTATATAGTGAGGTCTGGGCCATACTGGTCTACATAACAACATGATTAAAAATATTTTTTTTAATTTTACGAAAAAAATGAAAGAAAAGACTGGTAGTTTTGTCATATAATTAAGCTGCTTTTCTGTAATTAATTTAAATCTGTTTGATTTTCTTCCTCAAAGTTGCCATCTAAATCATAAATCTGATATTCATGTGTGAGGAGGATCTTCTCTAATATTTATTTTACCCTATTGTATAAAATGCATTTTTTTAAAACCAGGACTGTATACATTAGTTTCTTAGCTTTGCAATAATGGTATTATGTGTGAGACAGTCTAGCGTAGGAATTGCTTAGCAAGCTCAGACTCTGCTTAGCTTGGGCTGTGCACAGATTGCTTTTCTAAGAATGCGCCTGGCAACCTTGGATCCCTACCTGTTTCAGGCTGCAACACATCCAACTTCAAACAGTGGGGTAGTTTTCCCCTCTCCACATAGTAACTCCCTTCTTGTGCTCAGTTTCTATTCAAACATATTCCAAAAAAATATTCAGTAATGGTAGGCAAGGCACAAGCCAGCTTAAATTAGTATTGGGTGCATGAGCTATTAAGGCAAGCTGGGTCATCTGAGTGAACTATTAGGGACAAATCTCTATTTACCATCTTACACCTCTGCATAGCCAGGCACACATGTGATTAAAATCAAATACATCATGGGAAGAGACATGTGCACTGAGCAAAGGCTTACGTAAATAGAAGCCTGTCAATCAAAACAAAAACTGCTCGCACTAAGCCTCTTGGCAACAGCTCCTGCTCTCAGGCCCTATGAAAGAAATAACCCCAGGCTTTAAGTATGGAAGGACCCTACTGTTCTCTTACAGCACATCTGATCTGTACCATCGTTTTCCTTTTTAATATAATTTTCTTGCCTCTGGTTTGCCATCCATGTTCAACTCTTCAGTCCTATGAATAAATGCCAAGAACTTGGAACACCCTAGTAAAAATAGATAGCAACCACAGAAACAAAAATGTGAGGTGTGTGTGTGTGTGTGTGTGTGTGTGTGTGTGTGTGTGTGAGTCCTCTGTATTTGTAGTAGAGTTTTATAAATTTTTTATTAAATCTATTGGTTAGATTTTAAAATACACAAATCTTTTTGGAAATATTTATATTGTATTTTAATATCTTTTTCTTTAATCTTTCAGGTTTTATTTGTTTGTGTTTCAGGACAAGGTTTCTCCTTGTAGCCCTGGCTATCCTGGAACTCACTCTGTAGACCAGGCTGTCCTCAAACTCAGAGATACATCTGCCTGTACTCCCGAGTACTGGGATTAAAGGTGTGCACCACCACCTCCCCAATTCACTTAACCTTTCGATGTCTATTTTGTGTGAAAATTTTGTGAGCGGTTTATATGGGTATGCACATGCCGTGGCATATGTGTGTCAGAGGACAACTTTGGGGAGTCAGCTTTGTCCTTCTGGGGATTGAACTCAGACTGCCAGTCTCGCACAGGTGCTGGGACATTTTGCTGGCCTTTTCTGTCATTTCTCATTAGTAAAGTATTTGCTTTCTCTGTTCTTTCTTTGTTTGGCTCTCATGTTCATAATCCAGGAGGTCCAAAAATGCATGATTGAAGTTACTTTAAAGGACCCTCTCACTGTAATACAAGTGTTCTTGAAAATATAGGACTCAGGGTTGGAGAGGTGGCTCAGTGGTTAAGAACACTTGTTCCTTCACAGGACCCAAGCTTAGTTCCCAGGTACCCATGTTTAGTAGTTCACAACCACCTACAACTCTAGCTCCAGAGGGCCTGACAGTCTCTACTGGCCCCAAGGGCACCACACACACATACCTATAAGTAAAAATAAATATTCTTTTAAAAACAGAAAATACAGGACTTCTACAAACATAGCACACTCTTTGCATGAACACGATGTAACATAATCAGGAGTTTGAGGAGACCGGAACTGGAGAAACAGTCAGTGGGTGGCTGTTAAGTTGTCAAGTAAATATTAAGAAAATGTTAGTGTCTGTTGATTCCCAGTAATGGAGGGACTGAGTGACAGCTATTAAGAGTGTCTAGTTGTCAAATGCTGAACACTGAGATGTTTATCTACTATTGAAATTAAGCATCGCCATTGGTTGGTTTGAACTGTGCATAAGACAACTTTATAATCATAGTATAGCAATATTTATTTTATGTTAAAGACCTGGTGGATAAACTTCTAGGCTTCTTATCAGAGGTATTTTGATATATAGACATTTATTCTGTGGTCCTGAAAAACAGAAAGAATAACTACTTTCGATAAGTTCTGACTTGCCCAGAATAACACATAGAAATAGACAGTGACATTTAAGATCTGGAATGAAATTTGTATACTGTCATTTCTATCCACATTCCAATAAGGAAAACAAGTCATAAGGAGAAGTATAACCTCTCCAGAGAAAGGAAGGCTTTGGAACCATTATCTGCTGGGTAGCATCTAGCCAGAAGATGCTCTTACAGACACCATTATTTCTTTGTGCTTCCTGCTTATACAGCAACATTGTTACCCTTAGGCTTCTGCACCTTGTTCTGTTGATCTTTATGAATTTTTAAATGAAATCTGGAGAGCAGCTGGATCTTTTCTTTAAAATTCAGCTTGAAGTAGACTATATACATACATTTCAAAACTTGAAAATAAAATTGTATATATTATTGTATAAGTTATTGGCTCCTGTCCTCCTTGTCCCACAATGGGAAATTCTACAGAGGTTCTCAATTGGAAGAAATGTGTATTTCAACAGACAGTCTCAGGTTCCATTCAATGTTGGAATCTATGGTTGGTCTTTTGAATGTTTGTGATTAGAGTCTGAATTTTTACTATTGTGAAACTGATTAATAAAATGGGTATTATAATAGTACAAATGGATATAAATATATGAATATTGGTTTTAATTATTTTATGTATTCGTTTTTTTTACTCCTTGTTTTTACCCTATTTTCATGTTATATATTTAATTTTTTTCTGTTTGGTGATCTATGCATAGTGTTTGTATATATTTAAGAGTACAGCAATTTAATTTATAACTTAATACAAGTGTCATAGCCATATCAGAGTGACTACTATTTTATTACTTTTAATCTTAGAGAAATATAACAAATAGCCAAGTATTGGAAATTTTTTTATGGTGAATATGAGTCATTTTCAGGAATATAGTCACAAGAATCATAATTCATACTGCCAGGAATACAAATGTGATACCTCTATGTATGAGAATCATTTGAATTAAAGATTAATATAATGGGTTATATAACTAAAAAATCGTAAGCAAAATAAAAATTTCTAGTCCAATCATGTAGAAAAACCAAAAATTATAGAATAAGGTGCGAGAATATGGAGATTTTTCACTATTACTTAATAATGATGGTTAATCTTGATTGCCGACTGATGAGACTTAGAATCGTTATGGAAACCAACTTCTGGGCATGTCTGTGAGGGACTTTGTAGATTCCGTTAACTGGTGTGGGAATACTCACACTGAATGTGGGCAGCATGATTCCAAGGGCTGGAGGCCTGGACTGGAGACAAGGAAGAAAGCTAGCTGTGTTCCAGCATTCATTGCTCTCAACTTCCTGACCAACATGCAATGGGACCAGTTGCCTCCAACTCCTGCAACCATGCCTTCCCTACCATCCTGGATTCTACCCTTAAACTGTGGGCTAAGATAAACCCTTCCTACCTTCAGTTATTTTTATCACAGCAATGAGAGAGAATTCACAAATACAAATATACTATGATGAAAAAGAATTTGTACCAGGTACAAGAAAAAAAAATAAAAGAATAGTAACTGTAAAACAGATATTTATCACAATACTTAGAACATTGCTGCTTTTTAATTCTAAAGGAACAAAACACATTCAATTTTAGTGTGTGTGACTGACCTAGAAGGGCTGAACATTGTGGAATGTCAAGGAGTAAGAAGCAGCAGAGAGCGCATAGCAACTATCTAGAAGGGACGGTAACAAAGAAATTGAGAGATGTAAGAATTAAATAAGAAAAAGCAAACCTGTTTGAATTTCAAAGGAGATAGAGAATGGAGGGGTGGAGAAATGGAAGGAAGAAAGGGAGGCACAGAAGAAGGGAAGAAGGAAGGAGTAAAGAAACAATGGAAGGGAGGAGAGGTAATGTCAGTCAGACCCAAAGTGATTACCAGCTTGAACAAGTTCTATAGAGTTTCGCCTTGTTATTGATTGTGTTTTGGAGATTTTTCGCTCCTTTCTTTGTCCTCTCAGTAGATTTCACAACTACATCCAGCATTCTACATGTGCTACACTGGCAAATTCTTACCCACCCACTGAGATTCTCTACTGCCAGGAATGAAGTTCCTGCTTATGAAAATCCTTCAAAAGTTGAGGGAGGAAATTAGATGCCAATGTTACCATGCACTTCCAAGTCATGCTGTTGTTGGCCTGAACTGCTTGGGTTCTTTCCAATAAATTTCTTTTATTTCAAGATTATTTGCACACGTAAGTTTTTTTTTAATTGAAGAGATTTTCTATTTATTTTACATACCAACCACAGATTCCCCTGTCCTCCCTCTTCCCACCCCCCAGCCTTTCCCCTCAACCCACCCTCTATTCCCACCTCCTCCAAAGCAAGGTCTCCTATGGGGAGTCAGCAGAGCCTGGTACATTCAGTTGAGATGGGTCTAAGCCTTTCCTGCACCAAGGCTGTGCAAAATGTCTCACCATAGGCACTAGGCTCCAAAAAGCTGGCTCATGCACTAGGGACAGGTCCCAATCCCACTGCCTGGTGGCTCCCTAAACAGTTCAAGCTAAACAACTGTCTCTCTTATCCAGAGGGCCTAGTCCAATTTCATGGGGGCTCCTCAGCTGTGGGTCCACAGTTCATGTGTTTCCACTAGTTTGACTAGTTGTCTCTGTACTTTTTCCAGTCACGGTCTTGATATCCCTTGCTCATAGAATCCTTCCTTTCTCTCATCAATTGGACTCCTAGAGCTCCACAGAGGGCAATGGACATAGCTAGTAAGACAAAACGGCAGCCTATAGAATGAGAAAAGATCTTCACCAACTCCACATCTGACAGAGGGCTGATTTCCAGAATATATAAAGAACTCAAGAAACTAGACATCAAAATACCTAACAGTCCAGTTGAAAAATGGGCTACAGAGCTTAACAGAGAATTCTCAACAGAAGAATCCCAAATGGCTGAAAGTCATTTAAGGAAATGCTCAACATCCTTAGTCATCAGGGAAATGCAAATCAAAATGACTCTGAGATACCATCTAACATCTGTCAGAATGGCTAAGTTCAAAAACACTGAAGACAGCTTATGTTGGAGAGGATGTAGAGCAAGGGGAACACTCCTACACTGTTGGTGGGAATGCAAACTTGTACAGCCACTTTGGAAATACGTTGTTTTTTTTGTTTGTTTGTTTTGTTTTTTAAATACACTACGTTAAACAAATCTGTAAGTTGTCTCCACTATGGTGAAGGACCATGGTGGAGTTGATACCTTACATTTCTTAAGGGAAGTTAGTGAAGTGATATACAAGTTTTACCCTATTCTGTTTAGTTTTGGAGCCCTGATTTAGGATAAACAATATGCAAAACCTGTCTCATTCTCTCCCACATTCAAGTCTTCAGGTCAGAATATGACAATGGGCACTTTTAACTATTCCTCCCCTTTTTAAAACCATGGTTCTAGAACACTTGTATACTGATATACCCACCCACCTACAGCATTTCTACCACCCACCATTTTCTGAGTCATTCTCCTTTGTTACTAGATAAATTGAAGTTCCTCTGTTTCACATCCATCATTTTCAGAGTGAGCTATGTTGATTTCTCTGCCAGTACAATTACTCTAATATCCTGAATTCTTTCATTTTAGCCAATCAGCCTACACAACATCTCTATTTCCTGTATCTTTCAATTTCATTTTCACCCATGGTCAGTGATTGCCACATTAATGTCAGATAAACACCTCAGAAATCTTTTACTTTTCTAGGAAAAAAGTGCCCTGTCTTTTGTGGATTCCAGCTCTTTATGCTCTACTTGTACCAAATCAGTACAGAAGAGAAAAGAAACTTATATCTCCACCTGCTGTGATTGAATGATTATATGCATAAAGACTGAGGCTCATAGACTGGTATTCAAAGGTATTCAGAAATTATGTCTGGCTAGAATTTACTCTTTCCTGTGAAATGACTAATTCCGTTCGTAGCATCTCAGCCTGCTTGTCATTGCCTTTTCTCCACATTTTATTTAAAAAGTACAAACACGTAATCAAGAAATAATCAAAACTACATGTATCCATATTAATACTGTGTG